CATCAGTGGGAGATCCCGATACCCATATTCCAATCCCTGGCAAACCTCATCCAGCAGCTCCAATAGGAAGCTAAAGCTGACGCGACCATGGGGTGGGTCTATTGAAATGCAGTTTAGCAAGTTTGGCAAGTGAGGAACCCTCTGAAACACAGGAGATCGCATGGGACGCCAACTGCCCTCTCAGTTGTTTGGCTACTTCCTCTCAGTGATATGATACTTAATTGCTTACATATAAAAAAATCAATTTCAAGTCAAACTCAAAATAGGTTTGGAATCAACTTGGGATTAGATGATCTGAGAATCGGTCAGCTCAACATGACCAAATTTTGGTTTTGAGTCAACTTCAAGTCAAGGAATAAATTTTTTTAATTTTGAATCATATTAAACTTGCTCAAACTCGACTTGCTCTTAGCTTAAGCCACAAAGCATAGTTGAATTATAGTTATAGGCTTCAAAGTTTCGTGCTTAACTTTTCCATGATCATCACTTTTCCATGATCATCACAACACATTATTACAACAACAACAACATCAAGCATTTATCCCACTACGTGGGGTCGGCTACATGAATCCTTTTTCTCCATCGTGTCCCAAAATTTGGTTGTTGTCATGAAAATGGAACAAGGTAAACGGAATGTTGCCACTCCAAGGAATAGATGAAAGGAATGAAATGGCTAGCTCTTCGCTTAAGTTACAAAGCATAGCTGAATTATGTTTATTGGCTTCGAAGTTATGCTTAACTTTTCCATGATCACCACAAAGCATTATCATGTAACAAATTAGGTTGATTGTCATGAAAGAAAAAAAAAAAGAGGTCGAAAATGAAAGAGAGGGAGGGGGGGGATGGAATGTTGCCACTCCAAAGAATAGATGAAAGGAACAACTTAGGATAAGCAAATGGAGAAATGAGCTATCTTTGAATATGGACAATAGCTATTTGGTACCTAATTATGGAATCCCTTTACCTGTTACAAAAGATAAGGTGGATAGCATTGATATGAATTAGAACATTTTTTGTCCAAAGAAATCAAAATTATTTATGTAGAGATTTTTCACAAAATTCTCCAACAAAAAAAAAACCATGATCATTTTGGTGCAAATATTTAATATTTTGGATGTAAGATGTATAAAATTAAAGAATGCTCACAAGCACTAAGTGTTGTGTATATAAATTTTCAAATTAAAATGGTAAAGCAATCAAACAAGGACATGACCAACTATGTAATAATTTTAAGAATAGACTTTTGAACTAAGAAAGTGGAGACTGGAGAATGACAATAATTGGAGGACATTAACTATTTTACATTCCAATATATATGTAGTATTTATGCAATCCATGGATAGTTTCTAATACGAAAAATACAAAATAAGAGAATAATAATTACACAATAAATACAATAGTTCATGGATTGACGAGTAAATAGAATAATAACCATATAATAATTAAAATAATCTATGGACTGATGAGTGGAAAAATAACTACATTAGTCCATGGATTAATGAGGTGACAAAAATTATATGACAGATCACTTAGATAGCATGAAGTGAATAATGAAGGTGGAAGACTATTAGGCTCGGAGGAACATTGATGGAGGCAGAATTGATGGGGAACAATGAAATGTCTTCATTGGTAGATTTAGTTATAAACTCATAACAACGATGGCTTCATTAGGCTTCTTATAGAGAAAAGTAGGATATCATCATTATTGGCTTAATCCAAACTAATTGGTCTCAATTTTATGAATCCTCATCAATTCAATGTTGATGATTATTATATGAGGTATTAGTTGTTTCTCAGTAAATATTTTTACAAAACTTTTAGTACCCAAATTAATTCTCACAACCAAACTGATTGGAGTAGCTTTTAAAATCCATCGAATGTCAGCAAAACATATAAGTTTATTTTATAATCTTATCTACAATAAGTACCACACCTTCATCTCTCAAATATAATCATTGCTAGCACTATCATTTTTTTTTATTTTCACCACACATTCACCTTAAAATTCTCAATTAAGCCCCTCAAACACCTTGTCTTCGATTTACTTCTTTTGTATCCCGCACTTGAAACTTAATAGCTTAGCTGATCAAACTGCATTTTCATAAAATCTTCCTTTTTATCATGAACAGTCACCATATGCAAAAAGAACATTGTTCAAATACTATTTGAAGATACTTGTCATCCATGAGATATCATAAACATATACGTCATATGATCGTTCATCGTAAGAACTTCGCGGGGTAAGGGACTGCAGAAATAAATGAAACTACATATCAAGGGCTTAAAATTACTTTTTGAAAGTTGAAACTCACCGCAGCTTTTTCGTTTCCTAGATAGGACTAGATCACCGTCGTCATCCAATTTAAAAGATTGGCATCCGGTATCATACGCATGGTTTTGACCCCTGTACGCATTATTTCCATCTATTATCACATAACCGAATCCAGTGAAACAAAAAAAAAAAATCAAGAAATGTTAACAAAACAAAATTATTCGCAAAGGAAATAACAGCGTAAAATAATCACCCTTCCTCCGGGCAAGAACAAGATCGCCGTCCTCATCCAAACTGATAATTTTTGAACCGATCAAATCAGCTACATCAACAAAAAAAAAAAAAAAATCTCGTGGATTGAGTTCAAGAAAAGTAGAAGCAATTAAAAAATCGATCCATGGAGGAGTGATTCAAGATTGTGGTTCCACCTTTATTAGAGGGTGATGAAAAGGTGAAGTGGGTAACGTAGGGGCCTGAGAAGTTAGGCGGACAACCTAGATGGACTTCACTCATCACTTGGTCGTCGTCGCTCTCTCCTCCTTCCATTTTGCTTCAGAACTGAAAATGATAACAAGAAAGGCCACGGCGTCGCACTAAGCAAGCAAGTACTTAGCCGCTTGGCGTTACGGGGATTTAAAAGCTCAAGGGGGTTTTACATAAGTAGGAATAAGGAATCAAATAACTACAATTTATAGATTTAACAATTAAATTAAACTATTTATTCGTATAATATTTAATTTAAAAAAAAATAAATTCACCTAAATTTTTTTTCTCCATTTTCTTTCACGCCGCCAATCTCATCGCTCTTCACACACGGACTATCTATTCGTCTATTTCACACATTGTCCATCTTTTTCCAGCGAGATCATGTCGTGATACCATCTATACTTCGCAAATGAGCTTTCGTCTATTAATTTTATCTATTTGTACTTAAAACTATTTTAACTATTTAATTTTCAATAATTATCTCTCTAACGATTCCTTTATATATATATATATATGGATATATGGATTTATCCTTTGTAAGTTAATTATACATAACTTATAAAATTTTTATGAACCAAATGCAAATTAAGTTGTGGCTTAGTATAGTGATCCCATTATGATTTTGCCAAGTAGAAACCAAAAAGGCATTTGATTTTGGCTATGAAAAGTAAGAATAACATGTCTTTGGCT